GAGTCAATTCCTACAGATTCAATTTTAGAATTCACTCAAAATGAAGCAACACGCATGCTTCTCATGTATCGCCATTCAAAATCGAATCTTTTGAAAAAAGATCTTTACAGAAACGCTTAATCCGAAAAACATGACAAGTTACACTACAAATTTCCTTAAGCATTTTTTCTATCAATAGTCTTCATCTGAACAGACGTAACTTGGAAATATTTAGCATTTTCCCCCAATTATGTTTTTACTACTAATAACAAACAGGAGCCTTATATAGCGCCAACAGGAAAGGAAACGGTCCCAACTTGAGAATTGAGTTGAATTTGGAGAGAAGATCGCAAAGTATTTATTGTTTTGGGAAAACACTCAGGAAGTTAAGACACAACGGTCACAGAACATTTCTAACCAGCAGTGTCAGATTATTGAATAGTCAATTAACTCGGTCTCTCAATGGAGCGCAGAGTATTCCTCTTCATTTTAGCCATCACAGAATAACCTCCCATGCAGCCTGAAAAACTGGGCCAAGAGCACGGCATAAATCCCCCCCCCCCCCCCCCCCCAAGGAAACCCCATGGTTGCCCCCCGTGGGACCAGATAATCTTCCAACAGTCGGACAGCTGTGATGTCAGAAACGGGCAGGACAACCTGCCGCTGCCCTTCTGGGTACCAGTGATGCAAAGACAAACACGCATGTTCAGTTTGTGGTGTAAATGACCAGGCATTGAAAAAAATAACAGCTGGAGCTGCTTTAGTTGGGGTTCGGCTGGTGGTCTTTCTGTTCGTAACAAAAGCACCGAGAGGTTCTGTGGTCACGTGCGCACTCTCCAGTTACATAAGAGCCTTTTAGGACTTCATGAACCATTGTCGGGACGAGTACTGTAATCATCCCCAACATCCACCAGCAGATTGTTTCCTAAACCTTGTGCACGCAAATATGGCAGATTTGTTTGAATGAACTTGGTTGCTGGCTTCAGTGCATCGAGTAAATATAAACAAGAATTTAAACTGCCACTAGCTTATGCTAGTGAGCGTAATGCAGAATTGATTGAGTTCATGTCATTACATCATCAGTGTTTACCATCACCGCGCAACTTTGCATGAGCGGCCACTGTTCAGCGACGTCACCGGACACGAGTTTAATCATTCAGCTGCATTTTAGAGAACTGCAGTCCGACATTTTTCCTATTCTACGATTTTAAAAAAATATTTTCTTTTTTTTTTAGACAAAGCCATGAATTGAACGCATTGGTTTAAGAATCCTGACGGAAGCAGAGTGAATGTGTTTCAACAGGCTCCCCGAGGGTTTGAACACAACATGAAGCCACCTCGGCCCTGCTGGGCGCAGAGGTCGAGCGCTCACTCGGTTCAGTGAGGAGCGAGACACGTGGGGAGCGGCGGCAGCGGCGGATGAGTCAGAAGGAGACATTCGACCCCCCCTGGGGGTTTTTGTTCTGGGGGTGAAGTCAAGTTTGAGGCATTTAGGGGTTCTTCGCCTCCCCCCCTCGAGGCACAATGCGCGGCTTGACTGGTAGAGGGAAGCAACAGAGGACACGCGAGGTGATCTCATTCACCTCCAGGCCGCTTCTGAGTTGTTACTAAATCTGTGATTTAATCCACTATAAAAAAGGCAAGTAGAAACAGTGTGCGCACACACACACACACTTTTATTTTGCCAGTACCGTTACACAATCATTCATGGTTCAAGCTGGTCAAATTCTCTTTTTCCCCCCACATTCTATTAATGTGGTATAATATCCGTGGACTGGCCTGACAACATATATTACACTATATTATGTTCTGTGGGGCTGCACTTCAGACACGTTGCAGTTTCGAGCTAAATGCTAACACGCTCACAATTACAATACTATCTTGCCGATTTAGTTAGCGTGCTGCTAACCCATGCTAATTAGCGCTTGACACAAAGTACATTTTAGGAGAACACTTAATTCAGCAGGCTTCGTCGTATTGGGATGACTGCAATGTCAAAACATAAAATCTAAAAAAGGTGTCACGTTATCACGTTATCTTTAACAGTTCCAAGTTTATTCTTTGATCATGACGAAACAATTTCACCTCATACTGTCTGTCACGCACCAACCGCCAAGTCAAATTCCTTGTATGTATGACATATTTTGGCAATAAATGTTTCCTGATTCCTGACTCAGTCACTCATTCATTTTTAACTGATTATCTGTTCATAACTCTTGGTCCATGAGACTAAATGACTTAATGTGTTGTTTCAGCGCTAGTAGACACAACAACAACACATTGTGCTCATTCTGTTATTTGGCCATCACGTTATTGCACAACCGCCGCCTAGCAGCGACAAACAGGCTCAAGGGCATATTTGTTTAAAAGCACGCCTTCAATTCATGGCAGTGATTAAAGCAGGTAGGACTTTGACACTTGTAACCGTTTGTGTATCGCCTCAGAAGCCTGGACTCATCTTGTCGCTGCGTATGTGACGTTGGTTAGAAACCGCACGAGCCAAACAGTAAACAATTTAGTGGAAAAGCCCTCGGAGCTTCTGAATAGCCGCTTGGCAAACAGCACAAGCTACGCGCTGGACAACAGGTGGGAGAATCTCAGGTATGTGTGAGAACGCGCCGCCAATGACGGGCGGCGTTTTAGGGGCCAAAACTGAGACCAGAAGAAAATAGAAAAAGGAGCGCAGTCTCTACATGTGCCCCAAACCCAACCCAAAATAAAAAAATCTGTACACCGGTCCGAACGATTTTATGCTCATCGGGTTTGTGTTTCCCCTCAAGTGAAGATGTGCTGCCAGATTATTAGTCGAATGCCAATTTTGACAATAGCTAGATGACAGACCTAATTAGACAGATCTCAAGCTTGCGTGACAACTATTTACTCCACAAGTGATGACTCACACGGTCACACTTCAGCAACATATTTCCGTCTGAAATGACACACAGGTTTTTGTCAATGACGGCGCGGCGATCTTCCTCCGCTGCACACAGGTTGCTTTTCCTATATGCAAAATGTTTGCATCACACAAACGCATCATACATGTTTTTGTGATCTCAAAACATGTCTGCAGTGACCCAACTGTGAAGGAGCAGGGGCAGAGAAGGGGGCAAAGCATCTTATTATTGTGGGAAAAACGCTATTTCAATGGTTTGGACATGAACTCTGTCATTTAAGGGAATAGTTAAAATTCCTGCAGAGAATCAGAGGAGATCGATACTACTGTGGTGTCGACCTTAAATCTCCAAAAAGACAACATGCAAGCGTATCTCCCAAACTGTTGAGCTCGCTCACTCCAAGGGCACAACTTTCTGAACCGTCCCGAGCCCGTTTCTGTGGTAGCGGTTGTATAAAGACAGAAATGGAAGGAGAATAGTTGAGTTCAGTTGAGTAAAAGTTGGTTTGCGCTTGAACTAGTCATGCTGATGTCCAGTCATATTAAAGTTAAAACTTATAATATTCCTTATTTTAGTGGGTCTGGAGCCTCCTGGGCCTCAGGATGTTGGGGAAAAACATTAATGTAAAATGATGTCACAACATGTAATGTAAGAAGTATTATTCATATTGAATTATTGCCCCAGAGCGTTCTGGAACTAATCAAATATCAACAAGCGGCACGTCCCGCCGCCGCCCCTGTGGGGAGTGATGCCACCCTAGAAGAGCCCGTTGAAATCCTTAATTTCTCCCACGCGGTGACCATTAGACTCGGGTCATTAAATTCAGAGCTCTCAACCTGCTTTTTCCTTTGTCTTATGTTTGTTTACGTCCGTCCAGACAAAAGTGAGTAAAAACAATGGATCCAAACCATCTGTTGGACTGGTGGCCAGAGCGAGTACAACCACCCACAGAGCCCAAATAATAGACTTAATCTACACTAATGATGTGTTGCATAAATAGAGATTACCTTCCATTAATAAATACAAAAGATATGAGCGGAGGGTTGCAACCAGTTCTTTTAAATTCAGATAATCGGTTTAGTCGAACACCAAGATGTGCAATGATGTAAGTTTTAGGAAACTTGACCTAAAGCGTTCATCAATTATGCAGTGTTCTTGGGGATAGCGTTTCATACAATCACATAATCAATGATTGTTATGTAGTTCCTTTGAATGACATACGTTCCGTCATCTACCCATTAAAGATGTGGGGTAAACTCCAAGGACTCTTCAGACAAAATGAAGAATTATTTAATCTAGAGCTGAAATATTTAGTCAATGAATTAAAACGAATTGCATTTGCTCATTTAGCTTTTAAAACATGTAACTATTTAGATGTCCCTTTTACAAACAGAATAGTAAAATGGTCTTTAGGGTTTTGCACTGTTCTTCCTGCTGCTCTCAGACTGCACAAGCAGCTTTGCTCCCGGTGGACCACATGACACTTAAACACATAAAAAATAAGCTTTAAAAAGATATTTTTTAAAAGCCACACAACTAAAATAGCTTTGGTCCTTTCCAACTTCTCAATGTGAGAGTATTTGGTTCTTTTCTGTGTCGATAAGACAGTAAACTGGGCATATATGGGGTTTGGGATTGTTGTTCTTAGATAACAAGACAGTCAGATTTGCCCCTTTGCCCCTTTCTCCATTTTACTGGAGTTTTGTAGGCACAACAAATGACCTTTTGTTTTATTCAACACTGACCAGAACTACCTGAAGATCATTGTAATACGAGATTCAGTAGAAATGTGCACTTGCTAAAACCAAGTCACAGTGTATTGTTTTATAGTTTGTGTGCCTGTCATTTTAGAACAAACACATTAAAAAGACACAAAACAACCCGCTTAAACACACTGTCTAACACGTGGAGTTGTGTTGCTTTGGAGGCGGAGAAGCCGCGTGGCAAAGCTGCGCGCTTCAAGTGTAAAACAACAACAAAAAAGAAGCCTCTTGAATAAAAACATGAAAATGAAAAAAGTGTCGGCAGGTCACTCGGTTCGCACCGCGGCGCCGCAGACACACGACGACTGCGACGGGACATCCGGACACCGACACGCCGCCGGAGTTTACACCCGAGCAAACTCACCTTCGAGACGGTCATGCGGCGCGAGAGGCGTCGGCAGGTGGTGTTGGTTTTCCGCTGGAGAGGGTGAAGCGGGTGAAGTGCGGCCGGTGGTGCCGGTGGAGCAGCCGGGCGGGGTCGCGTTAAAGCACCGCCGGTTGTCACACGGTGGTCACTGAGAAGTCATGATGATGACGACGACCGACCGACCGGCTCGACCTTGAGAGTCCCGACGCACCGCAAACAAGACAAGCAGAGATACAGCTGAGTGCATTAAAGCATGGGCGCCCCCCACCCCCCTGAACGCACCGCGCCGTCACCATGAATAAAAGGAACGAGACAACCAGAGCCCAAGGGCGGAGGATGAGGAGCGATGAGGGCACAGGATGCGAGGAGGGAGAGGAGGAGGAGGGAGGAAGCGCAGGGCGAGGCAACCCGGGTCGATTACAAAATAAATGGCATCTTTTATTAAATGAATTTGTTCAGGGTTGAGTGTCTGGCGCAGGTGAAACTGGTGGGGCTTTTACTGATGGGTGGTGCATGAACATGACAGCTGGAGAGTGGTGTCAGGGTGTGGATTCTCAGCTCTCAGATGGGCCATTAGAGCCTGGATTTTTATAAATAAAAAAAATCAGTCATGCCGAGTTCAGGTCAATTCTACCCCCCCTTTGGAACACAAACTATTTTAATGTATCTTGCATTCCTTATACACTATTTTAAAGAACACACGTTGGTCATGTATTGAGTGGCGTTTGGGGAACATCCGTTTTTTGAGTGCGTTTGTCGCCCCCAAGTGGCGAAGCTTCGCCACCACAAAAGGGTCGATGACAGCGAGGCGCCGCCAGGAGGAAACAGGACACATGGCTGTTTCCCATGGATGAAGACTGCTTCCTCCACCTGTAGGTGTGGTTTACCCAGAACACGTGTGGCCCGAAGACCCAGCAGATAAATATGAAAGTTTATCCCTCTTCTTTTTCCCCTCAGTAGTTTATTATTCTACAGAACAGAGCAAACAATGACTAAAGGAGTGTGTTAGTGTTAAAATAACCTCGTCATCCCCGGGTTGAATCAGAGACCATTGTTGCATTGTTCTCTCCTCGTTTCCTGTCGTCTCTGGTGTGTCGCTGTCTAATGAAAGTAATGAAAGCAAAAAAAAACAACCTGGAAGGTGGCAGTTAACTCATACTTTGATGCTCCCTACAATGGATGCATTTATATGGAATATAAGGTTGAGATGTTAATAATCAGCAAAAAGTTAAAAACAAAAAGTTTCCATAACCAGAAGGATACTAAAAATCTAGACTTATGCGATATGTACTGATATCTATGTTTTATTCAGAAATAGAAGGACCCTGAAAAGACAAATACAGAAGTCTCACTGTGGATTTAGTAAAATTTAATTTATCTACAATTATCCCTCTGTTGAGGCATAAAGACCGATAGATTCTTTATTCATTTCAATGTGGCTCATAAACTGATAAGTTACACAATATCATACAGAAGCTGGTTGCCAGTATTGGACAAAAAGTTGCAAAAATATCTTTTTTGTCTTTACATGTTTTCTGTCAGTGTTTTGCAGCATATTGACGAGCGGTTAGATTGTGTCCTCGACTCCACACTCAAAACTTGGACTGAATCGGGTGTGAAGATGAATTTGGGGTGCAGCACAGAGACACGTTGCAGGTGACCCCGATGCTGTAGAAGCATCAAACCTCTTTATGACATAGTAAGAATAATACCAAATCTGTTTGCGGTTGCATATTTGCTACTACTTTTTTTTCATGTGTCAATAATAACCTAGTGTTTATTCTTGTGATTACAAACTATATGACAATACATGACATTAAACACAAGACTGGTAAAATCCATCACAAACTGACGGTAAAAGTAGCAGAGATGAATGTACTGACAAATTTCAAATCTTTTCGCGGTCACCGAAAACTCAATCGTCAGGAAAAAGTCAGAATAACTAACATGTACATGTGATGTGACAAGAGGGTAAAGAAAAATGAAGATATCATGGCAGCTAGAGAGAAACTGCATCAATATATTAGTCCTATTCTTCAGTTTCTCAGGTGGGTTTCCGCAAAGTTTTTTTTTTCTGGCCTGTGGGCAAATATTCCCTTCGCTCTCTTTCAGTGTTTTGTCCTCTAGTTCTCGTCTTTGTCCTCCTCCTTCTCATCATCCTCCTCATAATCCTCCTCATCGGTTTGGTCCCTGCAGTCGAGATCGTCTTCATCGTCCACCTGCAAGGACAGAGTCACAGTCTAACTAAAGCAAACACACAAAGCACAGCTGAGTTGTCTTCATACCACCACTGGTGACTCGTTCAACTGGAAGCAGAACTTGATACAACATTCCTCATCGAGCTGCATGTAGCCAAACGTGCTGCACGGCGGTTTCACTTATATTTATTAAAAATATATATTTTTCAAGTATACTAAATTCTTTCCTTCCGTGTTTTGAACCATCTTTTTACTGTAGACTACAGTATAACATGGTCATATATAAAGCATATAGCTTCATTCTCTTTGGAGGTTTGCAAAGACGTTCCCAGAAGCGTCATTTCGGTTTCAGACTAAATTGCTGCGAACCCGTAGCACCACCGATTATTGTGGGTGATGTTCCCAAAGCGAACATTTGATTTTTAGGTGTGTAGAAACGAGGGCAATGACAGCTGGAGGCAACTGAACCTCAAAGTGAGGTCAGCCGCCTAATTTAATTACATTAAAAATGGCCGTCCCTCATGGTAGCAGTTTTAGTTTTGCACATTAATCCTTAGGACTTCTTACCTTTAGTTCAAAAAAGCCTAATTCTAATTACAATATCCCTTTTTAAAATACAAATTTTTGATGTTGGGCTCTTTCAAATGCTAATTCATTATTTTCTACTACTGTATTTTACCATCTCTATGAAACCTCCGTCATGACCGCAGTTAAAGGTGTAACACTGATTGTCTACCGGCTCTCCGAGGTTTTTGAGTCTCAGTCTGAGGCTGTGGATCTTCTGGTCCTGATCTGCAAGCAGCATCAGCAGGTCGTCCTGCTCCTTCTTGGACTCTTGGACCTCCGTTTGCAGCTTTGCCTTCTCCGTCTGCAGGATGGCCACCGTGCTGGTGGCTGCGGCCAGCTGCTGTTCCAGCTCCGCCCGGCTCTCTGACAAACCCTTTGCCGCCTCCTGCAAGACGAGGAGGACGACCAATGTAAGTGGAGGGTGAAGCGATGCTTCAGTCACACACACACGTTGTTGAACACTTCTTCTACACACCTTTAGGATCTCCGTCTCAGCGGTCTGTGCTGCCAGTCGGCTCTCTACTTCCGCCGTCGCGCCAGCTTCTAATGAGCCGCCACTGCCGGAAACTTCATCGGAAGACTTAGAAGAAAAAAAAAAAGAAAAAAACGACGGGGAGGTTGATTTATTAGGTGGACGTATTTAGTATGGGATATATTTGGCCCAAATGTCCTATTCCCATGATAATTACCCCAGCTTCAGCCCTTCTGAGCAGTTCTTGTCTCTCCGTCTGCATCTGGTTGATTTCTGCAGACTGAGCCTGGACCTGATTCCTCAGAGCCTCCAGCTCCTACAACAAACAAAGCAACACACATATGCGTAATATATAAACCAATTACTTGGAAATAAGGAAAAAAACAGTGGGTTACGCCTCATGACCCTTTGGGAGAAATGACGCAAGGTGGAGATGTCTAAAAGTAATAACTTTAAAGCAAACAAATTATGTTGTTTTTGGTTGTTTGTTGACAAGATAAAGGTGGAATAACACCAGCCTCATCCTTTGTAGGTATATTTATTGGAAAATAAAAGGTGAAAGGTCTTTATGAGGAATCCTACCTTGAGCAGTTCTGTGTGGTCTGATCCTCCTGCTGAACTGTCTGCTGTCTCCGACCTCTATTCAGGGGAGACAAAATGCATTAGTAACACTAAAGTTAGACCACATCTGATTAAGGCTGCAACTATCAACTCGTAATTATTTTAACTTTCTGTGGATCAATCGACCAACGGTTGCAGCTCCGATTCTGTGTGTTGCGTGTCCTGCACAGCTCACCCCCCCATTCCTCCCCGTTTGAAGCTTACACAAACAAACAAAGCCTGTGCAGAGACGTCTACTAACCAGGGCGCTGATGAGTGCGTCTTTGTCCCCGAGTTGTGTTTGAAAGAGGGCGTGCTGCTTGCGGAGCTCCTCCACCTCCTCCCTGAGCTGTGTGAGCTCCTCCGTCTGCAGCCCGTTCACCTGAGAGACGTCCACCTGGCCGTTAGACTGACTCTCCTTACCTGAGAATACACACACACACTCATTAACAAACAAACAGTTACTGGGAATGATGAGCAGATCTTGGTTTACGCGGATACTGATTTTGATAACAATGGATGGCAGATCAGTTGTCTCAGTAAATAATCCCTTTAAGGGAAGAGTTTAGCTTGTTTGAGTTTATCATTGTTTGTCTGCACTAAGACACATAAGCCATCAAATCTAAACAAATCCAGCTTAACAAAGACGTCTACGAGGATTGACTCGCTTCAATTGCTCACTTTATCATCTGCAGTCTTTGACTTTTTTTTTATTTTTCAGCACCGGATGTTGTCACTTTGGATAATGTTGAACTGCTTCCTAATAACCTCCTGGTTGCCCCGTGCACTCCCTGGTATAAAACTGTATCTTACGATGTCGCGGCATGCAGCTAGCGCCCCTTATCTCAGCAATTTGGGAGTAAAACGGCATCATCAACGGGGGAAGGTCACCAAAAATATGAAAGCATCAACCACACTATCACAATCACTATTGTTCATTCAGACTTAGCGTGCTTATTTGCAGAGGACACGATTAACCTGGTGATCAGTCACCCAGTGAGATGAACCCACCGATTTTCAGCTTGAGGATGTTGTACTGATCCTTGTGCTGCTGGATCTGGGCCAGCTGCTGGCTCACTGTTGTCTGCATCTGTTCATTTTGAGATGACATGGACTCCACTTGCTCCTTCAGCTCCTGGATCTGAGAATCCTGAAGATCGCACAAATGGAAAAAAAGTCAATGGGAGATAAAAATGAAATCTATAAATAACTAGAATAAAATAGAGATAAAAAGCCATGCTCATGCACAACAAGCCTGTTTACCTGTTCTCTGATCAGCTCTTTATACTGAGTTACAATGTTGTCATGTTGCTCTAATGTCTTCTTCACCTCCTCTTCCTTTTTCTCCTCCTCATTGGATTTGTGAACCGCTTTAGTGATCACACCTGTTCAGAGTGGCAGGGGAAGGAATTTGTGAAAAACTTTGCAACTGCCGAGAAGGAAGGTACCATCGCTGCGTGTTGAAGATCGCCTCCGACTGACCCTCCAGTTCTTTGACCAGCTTGGTG